TTACAATTCTGATTTGTAATGTGGTTGTCCTTTTCGTCTTCCTCCTCGTCTTCTCCTGGGCCTGTGCTCGATTCAGCTTCCGTATTCAACAACGTTGGATATTGTTCTCTTGAGACTAAACCTTTGTGAAAAATAACCCAATTTTTGGTTGTGAAGTCAGGGTGTCACATATACCTTTTACTGCTGTAAACTCCTTTAAGATTTCCTGTTTCGTTTAATCTGTAGCATATATCTCGTTTTACCATGATACATAACAACTGCTTGCAGTTCATAAATTGATCTTGACACACTCTTCTTACTGCTCCCAAAGGAAGGTTTTCAATAGCTATTCTCTCAGAGTCAGCGAGATGTAAATGATGTAAGAATGGAGAAACTTGTATGGACTAAGAAGAATCAATTGCGTGGTTTAACTTAAATTTTCTAATGTTCTAATACTAACCATTAACTGGGTAAAGTAAGAATTATAATTTCATCATATTTGGCTCTGGCTTAGTAATCAAAAACTAACATTAATTTTTGAAGGTTTCAAAATGTTTTTTATTCCAGTTATCATCATATGTATCAACTCATTACTAACAAACCTGGAATTAACCCTAACTACAACATTGTTCTAATTTTCATTCCAGGACGAAAAATTCCAAATTCTCACTAGTAGTGTTTGGGTCAGGCAGGTAAGTCCTGGAACCGACTCAGCTCGTTCCCAGGTCCTCTCTCCATCCTTTATCGGTCTGTACAATTTGCCGTGAGTCTTCGGAACTGGTGATCAGCGCAGAGCCAACAACATTCCTGGAGAGAATGGAGAGAGGTCTGGGAACGAGTGAAATTTCAGCATGTTTTTAAACCTAAGTTATTACTTTTCCAGGACGAAAAACATCAAATTCTAACAACAGACATGTGGGTAAGGCAGGTAAGATTAATATTACCGAACAGTTTAAGACTTGTGTAGTGGGATGGGAGGGCTTAGTGTTTCAATGAAGCAGATTAAGATCTACAATCATGGACACAAGTGCTGGTTTTGACGTTTTTGCACACACGCCAGACGCCAATACAACTTCACCTGCCACACCTCCCGCCACACCCCACATGCAATGTTGAAAATTCTCCTGATTGAGTGGGAATGGGGGACAGCAACGCGTTTTGAAAAGAGTAGCAGCGCTTTTTTAAACTTCAGGTTTAAAACACACATAGTTCGTGGCATTACATCAGTGTCTCAAGGACTTTTATCCACGATTGTAGCTTAAGGTTTTACGGGTATTGCCTAAGCCAGAATTCTTTGTGCATGTTGCGGCATGGGGCAAATGAAACGTAAACTAAAGAGTTTATTTATGGGAATTTCAGCAATTTTTATGTCGAAGCTAGCTGTCTCAAGTGCTAAACCATAAATTTTCAGTANCTCAGGAATGGAACAATCACCTCATTAACTGGAAACCTGTGGACTATGGAGGAGTGGAACATATATCCTTAGATGCTTCCCAAATATGGCAACCTGACATGGTCTTGTATAACAAGTAAGTGATGACTCTCCACCAGTCGCTGCTATGAGTTGGTCGATCGAACTCACTGGGAAGAGATCTGGGACAGACTAGAATGTCGAGACGTGTGTAAGCCCATTCAGTTATCGATAGTGAGATTTACCTGTCCAGTCATTAAGGGTTCCATTCGATAATTTTGGGTTTCTGACTTGCTAGCTCAACACTTTCAGCTCTAACACAAAATTGTAACAAACATCAACAATTTTAGTACCACACAATATTATCGCTCAATCGCTTTCATTCGAATCAGGTCCCGCTGTTTGGGTGCACCTCGTGCAACATAATAAACAGTACCACATGAAAGTACTGCTCAGCAGCTTTCATTTGAATGGTCACACACTAGGGTTTTATCCACAGACTTAAAAGTTAGAACCACCTTGTACAGCATTATAAACAGTACCACATGAAAGTACTGCTCAACAGCGTTCATTTGAATGGTCACACACTAGGGTTTCATCCACAGACTTAAAGCTAGAACCACCTTGTACAGTATAATAAACAGCACCACATGAAAATTACGTCCAACAATTTTCACGATGTCATAATCATCATCACCATCATCATCAACCGCAGTTCCGCAACTGGGAAATACATTCTCTGGTTAGAATGAGGTTAACTAAGGTTTCATTCACAAACTTAAAAGTTAAAACCACCATGCACAGCAGAATGAACAGGTAACAGCCACATTCTTAGTCTCCTTCTTTCTTTACATTCACAGCGTTTTTGAAGAATTTGATGGCAGAATGGACAACGTAAAGACACGTATTCGCGTCCGACATGACGGCTATTGTTACTGGGCAGCGCCGTTCATCTTCAAGACGTCCTGCCCGTTTAATGTGCGGGATTTCCCGTTTGACTCACAGAAGTGTGAACTCAAGTTCGGTTCATGGCAATTTCACATGGGGCAACTCAATTTGATCCGCAAACGAGAAGTGGCACCTTTAGCAAAGGAGAAAGTTGATAATGGCGAGTGGAACGTTACCACGATCAAAATCGAGAAAAATGTCATCGTGTACGCGTGTTGTCCAGACGAGAAGTACCCCGATATTACATTCATTGTGAACCTCAAAAGACGCTCGTTATTTTACACCTACAATCTGATCATTCCGAACTTTATTATAGCTCTACTTGCCTTCTTTTCCTTCTACATCCCTGTTGAGTGTGGTGAGAGAATAGCGTTTGTGATTACCGTGTTGTTGAGCATGACCGTGTTCCTGCTGCTAGTCGCCGAGAGCATCCCTCCCACTTCAGAAGCGGTCCCAGTGATTGGTATGTACTACACCAGCTCCATCATAGAAGTAGCCTTAGCGCTTGTGGCCACTGGGATTAGTTTAAAGGTTTACTACAGATATTTGTATGGAAGGGGGTTATCACCTGGGCTACGACGATTCCTTTTTGATCGCCTTGCGCCTCTACTGTACGTTGACACTAAACTCGCAGGGGGGACTGAGCGTCCTAGAAACAAATCATGCAATCCTTTCAGCTTTCTTAAAAAGGTCAAACAAAGGTCCGCACAGAACAGTGACATTTCCATGTACAGCGTTACTGAAAATCCAGCAAAACTTTCAAATGGTGTGTCTAACTCGGAGAAAAACGAGGCTAAGTTACTTTCAGTCGATGTCAGGACTACGCCGGGTCTTAGTGACGAGTTGTTGGAACCAACAATAGAGTTGCCAGGCCAAGAATTAAGGCAAAGGTCCAAGAGAGCTTCAATGACTTCTGAACTTCAGACAATCTCTTCTGCTGTGAAGGATCAAAAGGATTCTGAAAAGCAGGCAGCTGAATGCAGGATTGCGGCAGCCATTGTAGATCGAGCTTTCATGGTTTTGTTTGTTTTGGTATTTTTCGTGTCGACCCTCATCATCCTACTTTTACCTTTCATCAGAAAGAGATAACATTCTGTTGCGTGACTCACGTGACATAACTGCCTGGCTATAGTCACGTAAGAGAGAATCACCGACAATTAGTGAAGGTTGTGTGAACTCGAATTGAGTGTAAGTAGTCACGCAGCAGACAAGTACCTAGCTCACGAGATCGAGGTTATTCAGGCGTGACTTGAATTACATGAAATCGTGTGTGACTTGAACTTTTCAAAAGTAGTCACGCAATAAGGGGCTTTCTTGTCTTAACCCTAACGAAGCCTTCAACAAAACAATTGTTTTGTCTTGTAACTCAATCAAGAGCGATTTAAACTCGATAAGGAAGGGATGTTCATACCTTCAACTAAGTTTCCGAAAGACGCAGTGCAAAATAAGCACAACGTGGAAAGAAAAACACAGAATTTGAGAAGTTCAAAACCGTCAGTTTTGTCAATGTTTAAGTTGATATTCTTTTTCAATTTTCTGCATACCACATTGTAAAAAAAAAATTAAGTATTTGTTAGAAACGATTTTCCTATTATGTAGACATTGAAAAATACTTTATGTAACAGAATGTGACAAAGTCGTTGATCTAATCAATTTTTTTTAAAAGAAATAATTTGAATGGAAATTTTATCAGTTAAACTATCGAAATCTTCATTACTGGAAAGGCTTCTAGCTATCGTTAACGTTTTTGATTTTGATAAATTTATACTTTCCCTTTGTACATTAAGAGTTGTTGAGTGTAGAGCAAGGGGATTGCGAGCGTTTTGACAAGAGCTTCTTGTCGGCAATAAACAACTGATATCTGTTATTCCTCTGTCTGTTTGTTAGCCTAGATTTTTTTGTCTCTCTACGGCTTGCTTGTGCAAGAGGTCCTAAACAGAGTTTTCTATGACATCATGAATGTTCCACTTTACGAGTCAATCTCGTTCCCAGGGTCCTCTCTCTACTTCGTTCCAAGGTCCTCTCTCTGCCTCCTTCCCAGAGTCCTCTCTCTACTTCCTATCCAGGGTGCTTTCTCTGCCTCCTTCTCAGGGTCTTCTCTCTAATTCGTTTCCAAGGTCCTCTCTCTACCTCGTTCCCAGGGTCCTCTCTCTACTTTCGCTCCAAGGGTTCTCTCTCTGCCTCCTCGGGGTCCATTCTCTACATCGTTCCTAGAATCTCCCTTCTGCCTCGTTCCCAGAGTCTTCTCTCTACCTCGAGGAAGAGAGAAGAACCTGGGAACGAGGTTGTTTACGTGTCAAGTTAGTCCCCTGGGTTAGGTAGGGGGAGGTAAAACGTAATACGTGTTTGGTTCGGATTTGCTCGCTTTCACCTTGTGGATCTATACCAAACACATCCACTCTTGTTTTCATTCTACTTTACGTTTATTTAAACTATTTGGAGAGTTACTTTACAAACCAAAACTACAAACAACAATTAAATTGTCTTACAATGACTAACATTAAATCATGTCTTGATTTTTTTTGAGAGGGAGAGCTACTTTACAAACCAAAACTACAAAACAACAATAAAATTGCCTTTTAATGACTAACATTAATTCATGTCTTGATCCAAGAACGACTACGTGATTTTTAATCCGAATTTATCTGATCATTTATCCACCGAGCAAAAGCTGACACCTTGGTGTACACGCCATATTTTCCAATTCTTCCACAACCATCCCCCCAAGACACGACGCCCGCGAGCACCCAGCGTTGATCATCATCGCTAACTGTACGGCTGTTATCCATGGCCAGCGGTCCTCCCGAGTCTCCTTGGCAAGCATCACCACGTGACCCGTCATGATAACCAGCGCAGAACATATTGCTCGTGACAGGATATCTACGGTGCGCTTTCTTGCACAACGTTTGCTCCACAATGGGTACAGTAACTTGGTGGAGTCTCTTAAGGGTTCTACCTCGCTCTTTTTTAACGCCCCAGCCTGTAATCACCATGTCATTTCCTGGCTTCAACAAAAATTTATCTTCGTCAGTTTTACGCAGAGGCAGGCAGATTGGTCTGACGTAATCAGTGAAAACAGCGTCCCTGCTGAGGTAAATCAGGGCAATATCTGAGTCGTAATCGTCTACGTTTGTGGAGTACTGGTGATGAATTATAATCCTGTCAGCACCAATTATCTGCGCTGTTTCGCGTTCTGGATGTTTGATCTTGTCAGTGAACAATTTACCAAGACGGACCTCGATATCTCCCACTGCCATGCCTTAAACACAAAAAGAGTGAAGCATATCGCGAGTTGAATACCAACAACACAAAACCAAACAGTGTGAAGAAACCTTGCCTACATTTTAAGATATTTGTGTGCAGGAGAATTGCTAAACAACTGTTTTAAAACAGAAATACTTATTCCTGAATCATATTCAGTAGGCGTCTGTTAAAACTGCTTAATCTCTCTATTACTAACCGCAGATAACAGTAGTACAGTCAAACCGCTATTAAGCAGTCCTCTGTTAAGGGTCACCCTCTATTAAGAGGTACCATTTAAATTCCCGAGATTCGCCTCATCAGGAGCCCATGACCTGGCTTCACATATTTACTATATACTTGACGGACTTCCATTAAGCGGCCACCTCTATTAAGCGACGCGGTCACCGTTTGGACTTCCCAATTGCCTAATTTTATTGTGATTCACCTCTGTTAAACAGTCACCTTGTCACATTTGGTGATCAACCGGAGCACAGTTTTAGTTACGCAACCCAAAATCACAAACGAACATGACTAATTTTTTCACTTCATGTTAAATGAGATACCAAAACTGTCCATGATCCGCTTTAAGGACGTTCGCGCGAAAATTTTCCGGTCGATAGATTTTTTATTTTTTATTTTTTACGGCAGTCAGATAATGAGTTACTTGTGTCAGAAATGTAAAAAAAATTGAGGGTCAACATTTCGTTTCGGAGACAAAGAGTGTGGAAAACTGATTTTGAAAAATTGACGCATGTAATTCTGTATGGTCTACAGGTCTAATCAAGAATATCGAAGATGAGACAACGGAGACAAACGATCTTAGTCGTATTTTGTAGAGGTGGGTCTGTTGCGTAAATAATTCCAAATGTTGCCCACGTTTTCACAAAACTTAACCCTTCAAGAGGCATTGAAACCGCCGCACAGATAAACGAAGAGCTAAAGATGACGGATTTCGATGGTGCATTTTGCAAAAAATTCAAGCTTCTAATCAATAGATTTTCTTCATTTTTTCGCTTAACGTAGAAAATCGGTAGAGAAAATGATCCAGCAAAAAAATAGGGGTCACTGAACGTCCAAAATCGTTAAGTCCAGGCAAAGCTATAGCAATAGCCATCTGCCCTATCATTGTTCATTTTATTACTTAGCGCGCGCATCGGTGCATGACGTGGCGTGTAAATTTTCGTGCGCGGTAAGGATGCGCAGAAACAATTGGTGCGAACGTTCTTAAGGCCTATAAGGCAAAGACGCTCGACGCTTACCTTACAAAATAACTTTACTATAAAATCTGGTGGCGAGTGCGTTGACTCCTTAGAATCTGCAACCACTTATTTTTCGCGGTACATTTGTTAGGAACAATAAAAGTAGATTGCATGCTTACTTTTGTTTTACAAGTGAATATATGAGAGATCATATATTTGAACTACGGAGAAAGATATGAAGACATGATTGATCATCGCAGTTATACTCACAACTTAAGCAATTGTGAAATTAAAGCCTGAAAAAAATTCAGGCCTGAAATTTTACAACTGCTTAAGTTGTGTGTATAACTGCGATGATCAATCATGTCTTCACATCTTTCTCCGCAGTTCAAATATATGATCTCTCATATATTCACTTGTATTCTTCACCATCTACGGGTATATTACGAACTCACAATGTGACCACCTTCCAGTTGGCTTGATAGCTCAGTTGGTAGAGCACTGCACCGGTATCGCAGAGGTCATTGGTTCGAATCCCGTTCAGGTCTGAATCCTGTTCAGGCTTAAATTTCACAACTGCTTAAGTTGTGTGTATAACTGCGATGATCAATCATGTCTTCAGTACTTTTGTTTTCTTGTCCAATTCTTGCCCCATATTTTTGCCCCAACCTCTATTAAGTGGTCGCCGGGCTATTCCCTGAGTGTGACCGCTTAATAGAGGTTTGACTTTAGAGAATTGCACTCTGAAATACAGGATCATTTTCTCTACCTTGTGGGCACTTACTTTGGCTACTTTTCGCCTTAATGCGCATGCGTGTATGACGTACTACAGGTTACGTTTATTGGAAATAATATTGGGACTGTTTTATATAT